AAGACCACTTACAAGTAACAGCGTCTAGAAGAGCCAAAGCCCAAAAGCTTCAGTATTTACATAAGCCCACATATATTATTATACAGTGTTGTAATTTTACATTCTATTCTTATCTATATTTCCAAATGGTATTGTAACATTCATTAGGGTTTTTAACCCTACTCTTATATAAAGCAATAATACATCACTGGCAATGTGCTCCACTTTTTAGAATTTTAGGTCTTGTCATTTTCTTATCTAAATTTACATCCCTACGAGATATGCATTAGTTTTCTATAAAACTAATCTTTGTTAACGGGTTGGTTAGGTAACGTTACACTAGATTCACATAAACAGGCAAGAAAAGTTTATGATCCACATTATCCATCTCTTGTCCACTTATTGAAATTACAATAAGCACTTCAATTCAACTCTCACTAACAAAACCAGCATAACAAGGTACCTTGTTTTTGCAGCTCAATGGTGGTCACTTATTTACTCCTAAATCTAAAGCCTTTCTCACCTCTACTCACAAACCTGCCTTCAATTCCTTCCATTAACTCCACCCAACTTCCATTCTTGAGCTCATCAAACTATCAACCCCATAATTCCAGCATCAGACGAAGCATTCACACAAATGCCAAGAAGAAGAACACATGGCTTTACCCTTTTGATGACAGGGAAGACCTAACCATGGAGTATGGCTCCTTATTTTTAGATGGGAAGCAAGAAGAGGATCCAAGGCTGCCCGATAACCCGAATAATCCATATGGGTTATTGAAATTTCCCTCTAGGTATTATGTGGAAATTGCATCTCTGGCTTTGAAAGTAAGAGGAGATGTGAGGAGGTTCTGCTGTGTGATCTCTGACGGTGTTTATGAAAATATGTTTTTCTTTCCAGCTATTCAGTTGCTTAAGGATAGATATCCTGGTGTTCAGATTGATGTTTTGGCGTCTGAGAGAGGGAAGCAGACTTTTGAGCTGAACAAGAATGTGAGGTGGGCAAATGTCTATGATCCTGATGATTATTTTCCAGAGCCTGCAGAGTACACTGATATGGTTGGACTTCTCAAGGTTCGCATATTTCTAAGTCTTACTGTTAATATACTAAAGATTTTGATTATCATCAAATGTTGATCTCTACAGAGATTGGGATAGCTAAAAGGGCATTTGTCTCAAAGTACATGTTGATATTGAAGCCAACTTGTTTGTGATCTGAAAAATAAATTCCATTAATGCAATTTGAGTACAGAATTTCCTTTCTGCTAAGTCTGATGAGCTTTAGTTATACTGGACCAGAATTGTGCTATGAAACTCATCATTTTCAGTTACAAGCACTCCAAAAAAGCTTACATATATTATGAATTGAAGCAATGTGAAAAGGAAAGAGTTTAGTTCCAAATATCATGCACAAAAGACATTCGCATGTTATAAGAAAAGTATTTTCTATAAATAAAATGGGAAATGTACTTAGAAAGAAAAAGGGATTTGTGCATTTTCTATTTCCTGTTAGAAAATCCTATAGAAAATCCATTCTGAGTCATGCCCAAAGACTCTATCCTTAATAGCAATATGGCATAGTCATTGGAGTTTTTTTGGATTAAGCAAAACCCTCCTATAAAATTAATAGGGTAATAGAATAGCAAAAAATACAAAATAACTTAGGAAAAGCACTAGGAGGAGAGGAGATGAGAGTGTTTGAAAGCTTGGATGGTGCACTAGAACCCAAAACAATCACTGCCTTTGGTAGAAATCTCATACACTTTGGGCAATAAAATACCAGTTAATGACACTTTAATACAAATTAAAAACCATTTTAGATAATGAGATTTAATATAAAATAAATAGTCATAAATAATAATTAATATTATTAATAAAAATATGATTCCTTTTAAAATATCATTAAATAATTAAAATATCTAACATCTATTTTCTAAAAAATACTTTTCTATCTACCAAACATTACATAAGCCTAGCAATCATAGAAGAAGTAAGTGTTATTCATATTGGCTGAAAGTCTTCTTAAGATATTTCTAGATACACTTTCATATATTTGGAGGGTTTCTTAATAGTAATGCATTGTTCTGTTGTGCCTACAGAATTGTTACCATGACATGGTCTTATCCACCAAATTGGCAGGCCTAGGCCATGCTGCATTTTTAATTATGACAACAGCTCGAGATAGAGTTAGCTATGTGTACCCAAATGTGAATGTTGCTGGAGCAGGATTACTTTTATCTGAAACATTTAAGCTAGATAGACTAAATCTATCAGAGGGAGGATATAATATATGGGTATATGGTAAAGCACTAAGATTTTAGCGTTTTGTTCTGTTTTTATGCCTTCAACTTGCCTTGCAGTAATAATATTGCTTTAACTAAGAAAAAATTGTGAGGCAGTTTATAATTGGTAATTTCCTTTCAATGAGTTTGCTAGTGTTGGTATCATCAGATGGTTGACTAGTTGGGAAGACCATTTCGAAATGTCTCGAGGCAACCTATGCCACTGCTTAGAGTATCAATTTCAAGGAAACTAAAGGATTATGTAGAAGAAAAGTACAAGAAAGCAGGAGCAGAAAATGGGAAATATATTGTAATTCATGGGATACAATCAGATTCAAACGCTTCAATGAGAGTTATGATCAAATATATTGTAACTCATGGGGTACAATCAGATTCAAAGTTATGATCCCATCACCATCACCATCACCATCTTTCTTCACTTTGTACCGCAAAGTTCCACATTTCAGACACTTGTGTAGCCTTTCATACTCATTTCTATACAGTATGCAGTCATTAAGATAAGCATATATCTTTTCATAATCTATACTTATTGGACACAAGATTTTCATTGCCTCATACATTCGTTTTGAAAGCAAATTATGGGTTGGAAACATTTGACTCAAAAATTCAAGCAACTTCGTGAAACTCAATTTGTCCACCCACTTCTCTAGTTTTAAGTTAACCAATCCTAAGAAAATTATCAATAGTGTAAACTTAGTACACCCTACATATAACGGCTTTTCTACATTAGTACATAAGTTGTCATATACATGTGATTATGCAAATAATGCTATCTTAACATTATGAATTATATCTTATATTCTATCATCCAAGTCATTCACAACTTGCTCATTATGGGACATAAAAGTTGTTCTTGCTTTCCCATACCATATCCTTTTTGTATGTCTCAAATTTATCCCATCACAAATTAAATGTTCTTTTATTTCATCAATACCCAATACACTCTTATTTAAATAGTTGACATAAGGACAACAATGCTTCTCATTTTTACTAGGAGCATTTTTTCTACAAAATTCAAGAAATTTGTCCACACCATTCTCATATTCCTCACCCATTCTCTGAGCATTCATCCAACTACGATCCATTTTACTTTTACGTAAAGTTAGAAAGTATCAAACTTAAGCATATCCGATACTGAAGTGAAACATTAAGGTAGATTTGTTATAGATAAATGAAAGAGAAAGTAATTAAACATTAACTATGTAAATACATGATGATGAATTGAAATACAAATTTTAATATGGCTACCTGCAAAATAGACTCATCATCTCGAATGATATATGAGTTAATTAAAGCTGGAAGTGTGGAATGAAATTATAACTAAACACATCTATTTATAATTGGTATGGTATAAACGTTTGAGGGAAATTTAAATTTAAATTGCTAATAAATTTAAATTTAAATTTTAAATTTAGATAAGATTTAAATTTAAATTTGAATTTAAATTCCCAATTTAAGTTTAAATTCTAAACTTCAAAATTCAAAATAGAATCAAGCTTTGAAATACAAATCAGTATATCTTCAAAAATTTGAATTATATTTAGCATAAATAATCATTATTAAATTCATAATTTAAAATTTCATAAATTTTAACTATTTATAATGTGTTTTTGAACTCATGATTTATATTCTAACTAATTTCTTTTTGTTTTTTTTGTTGACGCTAATTAATTGTTGTTATTAATACTTTTAGTCATTTGAAACTTTAAACTTCATCCGTACCAATTTAATTGGAACGAAATAGTTTTTTTTTATATAAGATATCAAGCACTTATATTTTTTCCCTTAATTATAAATAATGTGTACTACTCTTCTTCTTGGTTTTTTTTTTTTACCAAAAGGCACAACTCATTTTCAAAACCAATTTGTCAAAAAGATAAATTAACAAATATTTTATTATAGTAAATCTATTCACCAAGAGTTGAATCTCCAGTATTTTTTTTAATTATATTTTCCACATATTTGCAACCAAAACAGATAGACTTAGTAAAGCCTATAATTGTTTTCTAAATATTTAGATAGATAGATATTAATTTGAATTCAAATAAATAGATATCTGTACTTTATTATACGATGAATTTTTTTTAAAATCATGAAAATAGATCTAAATATTTAAATATAGATTTTTTTTCTAAAATTTTTAAATAGAAATATTTAAATTTGAATTTAAATATATATATATATATATAAATACTCAATTATATGAAGCTTAATTTTAGAAATATTTTTAAGATAGATTGAAATTTTTGGAACACATCAAGATAGATCAAAATTTTTAAGCACAGATTTTTTCCCCCCAAACTTTTAAATAAATAGATATTAATTTGAATTCAAATAGATAGACATTTTCATATTTGATTACTCCTTTTTAAATGATTGGATTTGAATTTTAAATAGGAAAAAATAATTTTTATATACATCTAAAAATTAATAATTCATCTTGCATCTAATTCCAAACTTAAATAATATATTTTATATACATTAAAAAGTAATAAAAAATTTCAAACCTAACTCCAAATTTAATTCTAAAGCACAGAATTACAAGAAAGCCATCCCGAAGCTCAAAACTGCATCAAACTTAAAAATGAACACATGACATTTTTTTATAATTTTTAACCCTACTTTTATATATAATGATAGGCAACTAGTAGTGAACCAAAACCGTTAGATATATGATTATAAAAATTATAAAGCATGTAAAGGAAAGTGAAGAAAGAATTAAAGAAATTAAAATCACTGAATAGTGTGATCAATTCATTATGCTATGAAGAATATTAGAATTTGACGTATAAAGAGTGCAATTGTATATTAGAATGGTCTTGACTCACACAATATACACATTGCACGTACACTTGCTCAGCTATATATATATATATATATATACACCAACAAAGAATAATGAACATAATGAAATCAATCAAATTATACTACCACGTCCAAGTCATTACATTACATAGCCGAGCTATTGATATCCACCTGGTCCAGGACAGCTTCCAAGTCCAACTCATGCAACCTTTCTGGTTCTACAGATTGGGGTTTTATCTGGAGCTTGACCTTGGCGTGGGACACATAGATCCCAAGGTACACGAAGCTTAGTAATGCCAACACCAGATAATACTTGTCCAGGCGACTATCATTTATTTTACCCTTGATCCAGCTGCGAAAGATGATCGATGTAAATAGAATGCTGGCCAATTTTGCGATCCCCAACACCATTCCAATGAACGGATCCACAAATTTTTTTCATTGACTCAGAGTGCACCCGATCACGCGAGAAAGTCTGCAGTCCGCATTCTACAAATCCGTTCATTAGCCCTAGCAACAAAAACTGAGGAATCAAAACCATGATGCTCAAGGAAATCATGTCCTTATCTGGATGACGTAGAGACTTAACCAGAGAAAGCCTTTGACGTTCTACTTGCAAAGCCACAATATAGCAAACTCCTGAAAACAACATCCCAAAAGCCATATTCCAAATTGGTTTCACCTTTTCTTTTGTTCCTGGCGATTCGATTATCTTTGTAACCCCAGAAGCAACCAGATATTGGAGTGCAGGGAAAACCATGATAGGAACATCAAATTTACCAACGTAAGAATACAAGTTGGTTGTTTGCAGAACAAAGTAAGTGTTGCTAGGAGCAGAAACAAAACTGTATGCTAAGAAGGTGAAGACCCCCAAGGGTATCATGGAATAAAGGCTCTTCACGTCCCTCACTTGCTCAGCAGTACAATCCTCCTTTTCATTTCTCTCTTCGCTTCCACCATCATCGGAATTGTTCTTAATAGCTGCCTTGTCCAAGAACGACAAAAATGATGGATGACGTGGCAACAAGTGAACCTCATCTCCATTGTCAGCTGTCCGATAAAAGAGATCATCTAATGTATCATCTGAACCTTCATTGTTATAGCCATGTTTTGAAGATGGGTATGACAATCTGCGCTTCTTAATAGCTTCCTTAAAGACCCTATAAATGATTGTGACAGGGCTTCCGGAGGGTTTTTCTTCAGGATAATAGCAGAAAATGCCAAGAAAAAATAATAAACACGTAGCTCCCATAACAACAGACGAAACTAAGAAAGTTTCACGCCAAGAATCAAATAAGAATTGGCATAAGAAAGCTATAGCGGAGCCCATAATTGAAGCCATATACCACCAAAGATTGGTAGTTCCGCTGCCGTTGTTACCTGATTCTGGTCTTTCTTTTTCTTTCGATGATTCGGATTCCTCGTCTTCTCCTTCGATATTCTCGGTACATTTTTTCTTCGCTTCCCTCAGCTGATAATCAAAAAAATCTCTTAAAGTTGGCTCTTCTCCGGCTTTGCCTAATGCAACAAGTGCTATTGTGAAAATCGTCCGAAGGAGGTGCCGCGAAATGGGGGCGCGTACCCCTAGTAGAAACGATCCCTGCAATTAAAAACACCTTGTTTTATCAACAAAAGGAATACCTTCATTCGCTTTTAAAGTTCACATTTTATTTTAGTACTCTAATTTTAAAGAATGACTAATAACAATGAACGATCAAATACTGACTTTGAACTCGGTGTAGTGAACAAAATTAAGCTTAAAGATTGTTGGTGGGAATGTTTCTTTGAAGGGTAGAGATGAGAAAGAAAGTTATGCACAAATTTTCAAAGCACAAGATGCATTTTCTTTGGACTTAATTTGTCCCCACTTATTTCAAGTTTTGGGTACAAATTGGGTCTGACAGTCAATTTTCTTCAGAATACAAAGAAGACTCTCAATTATGATTTGCATTCTCAAAATTCAAACCAAGACAACAATGATGTTTACAAAATGATAACTTGACCTCATCTTTAGTGTACTCAGAAACAAAAGTAATGAGTTTGGATGTTAGAAATAAAAGATGATGAGGGGTTTTTATAGAGAAAGAAGTGATAACTTGAAATGTTGCCTTTTGCTGCTAATATGATGACTAAGGCAGTAACAAGAAAAAAGTTTGAAGCTTGCTGTGAGATTGTTGGATTAGCAATTATCTTCACATAGTTGTGGAGAAGGTCCAATATTGAAGCTCATTATGGGTCTCACTAGTTAAAGTAAAAGGGATTTATATTAAATGATGACTCTCTATATTTTCATGTATTTTGAGGAGTTTTATTGGTTAATCGAAGAGTTATCTAGTTATTTTTAGTTAATTGTCTTGTGTTTATTTTGGTGTTAGTTAGCTTGTTTGTCAATATTATGTTTTGATTTCTTTTAGATTAATTTTTATTATTAATTTCAGTCATTTAATTTTAGGAACCCTTGCAAAAGCTTGGAAGATGTGGAAGAGAAAAAATATGATGATTTTAATGAATAACTTGAACTTTAATGATCACCCACTACAGCGGGTCAGTGTTAAAAAGTAAATTCTGAACTAGAAACAAAGCTCGTTACAACGGATTTTGCACCAGAACGAACAATTTCAATTTGTCTATTTGATAAAAGAGGGAAACTAGAGTTTTTCAAGGGAGGCTTCATTTTTTATGTTTTCTAAAGATCCAGAGGTGATTTTGGAGAGCTTGGGATGATTTTAAAGCTTATGAGCAAGATAACTCATCACCATCTACATTTTCATTAAGTTTTCCATTACTTTTCTCCTTTCTCATATGTATCCAAATTTAAACCATTGTTCTACCGTTTTGCTGCGTTATTTAACTATAAGGGGCTAAACTTTGATGCTCTAGAGTCCTATAAACTCATTTGCTCCGGTTGTATCTTGATTTACCAATTATTTTGTGATTAATGAATATTTTATGTTTTAATTTCAATTTAGCTTTATGTTGCTTGATGATTGGTCACCATTATTAGATGATAATTTAAAGGAATAGAATGAACTTGAGAAAGGAATTTCTATTTGGACCATTGGAATTGAATATTTACGATTAACTATAGTTAATTTGCCTTTAGAATAAGAATGTACATAAAAGACCTAAGTGGTTAGAAGGTATTTGAACTTAATGCTCTTATTCTAATTTTGGTAAGGAATTATTGGGTTAGAATTAAGGAGGATTTTAGATAATCAGAAGATATTCAAGACTAATTCTAGTATTTTAACCCTTAAAATTGAAATTAAAATCAATTTAATTGATCAGATGAGTGCAATGGTGAGCAAATGAGGAATTAAAACTATAGGGTGCTTTCCTAATTGTTTTCTTGCCTTTAAAGTGCTTCAAAATCTTAGTTGCTTACTTTACATTTTTATTTTTAAATTGAATCATTCACCACTATAATGTGCTTACTTAATGTGAATGAAATTGAGAATTTAATGCCTATTTGCCATTTTACTTAATTCTCTATAAGATCGACCTTGATTTACCATTAGCTACAATTGCAACCCATACTCTTGCAATGTCTATTGGTTTTTGTTTGCATCATTAGGTTAGGGGAGAGAGGTCATATTCAAGTTTTAGGTGCAACTATTTGTTAAAAAAGTTATTTTCACATGTTTACATGTAGTTTCAATAAATTTGCATTTGTGAATTTTAACTGTTGGATCAGGTTGAAATGTTGTCAACTTGTTTGGAACATTGGGTTTGCTATTTTCAATGGTCGGATCATTCATTTGTTTCTTAGTGTAAGAGTTGTTTAGTTTGCTATTTACATCCAGTTTGGGTGTCTTTCATTCTTCTCTTTCTCTTTTGGAAACTTATTACTTTGGTACTTTGGCTAGTTGTTTGCACTTGTTTGTGCATTTGATTGAAACTCTTTTGTACCATATTTTGATCATAGTATGACCCATGATTTTTATGCTTGCATTGAAGGATTTTTCATGTTAATAATTTCTAGTGTCTCTTGAATTGTGCTATTTATTTTCTTCAATATATTTGTTCAATTACTTCTCTGGAATTCCAGCAAGTGACAAGAATTTATTTTTGCTATATATTTAAATTATTGGATTGAGCTTTTCACATCACATTTTATAAGTAATAAAACTCTTCACTTAAAAATCATAAATCTATATATGTTGTTTTATATATGAACCGACATAGTTTAATGAGTGATAACCAATAGTTATTCAAAATAAATTTTCTATGAAGAGTAACGTCATTTTAATATGTAAAGTTTCTTGCTCCCTCTTTGCAACCATAAAAGTTTAGTTACAAATTATTATAAACTGTAAATAAGCATGCGAAGTGGAGCCACGGTTCTCGTGCGAACTAGGTAGGTCTCCTTATGGCCACTGTCGCGAGAAAGGAAATAACCCGGAATCCCTTCAAGTAGAACCAATTAATAAGTGTTCCGAACATTTGGTTTCCGATCCTTTATACTAATTGAAATCAGATTTGGATTGGGTGAATGGTTTAAGACTAAATTCACTCATTCAATGCGTTTTTCACATGATATGATAATAATTGTTTGATGTAATTAAATGGTTGTAAGAAATTTTGTCACATAATACTCAAAAAATACTAAATATCAAATTTTTGGAAGGGATAAAATGATTTGATTGTGAGGATCGTTGTAAATTTTTAGAAAGAAATGTATCTTGATAATTTTTAAGTATGGATAAAATTTAATAATTATAATTGAGATACTTATTGAATGAGTGGATTTAAGCCATTCACTGCACCTAAATTCATTGAAATCTGTATTGTGGCTCAAGGTATATCATCTATTCATTTCTTATTTCCTCATTTGTGATTAATATATCATGTTTGAGCATTACAGTTTGTAACATCCCAAATAATAGTCCTGAAATTTAATAAGTCGAGAAAGATAAATTAGTAAATTGACCAAATAATCAATTTAATAATATTTTTGAACTAATGAACCTGTTGGTCTTGGGGACAACCTTGGAATTGGAAAAGGAGGTGTCTTGGGCCACTTTGGGCCCAAATGGAGGTGCATATTGCATTTTAAGCTTTTTTTACCATCTATCGTGTGGAATCTAATATAATCAAACAAGAGTATCAAGACAGAAAAGAAAGAAAGAAGAGGAGGAGCAACGGTGGAATGTTAGGGAGCTACTAGGGCAACTTTTTGGTGGGCATTTTGAGAGGATTTAGGACTCCATCTTTAAGCTAATCATCTCCTTTTATTTCTCTTCCTCTCTACAAGTTTTTGTGCTAGGTTTTTGGGGTGGATGATAATGATATCTAATGTGGGAGAGTTTTGGATGAACCCATTAGATCCAAAGGGACTAATGGGAGTTGTTTTAAGTTTTTAAATCTAAGTTTTATGATTTAACAAGATTATATTAGTGGGTCTTCCACTTTGGATGAATCCTAGAAGTTAGAATGGTGATTTGTATTGCTGGGAGCTATATGAAGATGTTACCTAATTAAGCTAATGGATGATTTTAAATATTTAGATTTGTGAAAGACACGAGTTTCGGTATTTGGTTAGTATGAGGTACGTAGTTAGAAAGTTGTTGATATTGATGATAGTTGTTGGATTAATGTAGATTAACATTGTGCTCCATTTGAGCAGAAAGTTTAGTTAAGGAAGCAAGTTATCAGGGGGTTGAATCTTTAGTTACCAAAGGTTTAAGGTAATTAAAGGAAAACTATCTCTTGTATTTTGCTTGTCTGGTAGATTAATAGATCGTGTAAACTTGAATATATATATATATATATTTATTTATTTATTTATTTATTTATTTATTTATTTGTATATAACAAAAGCATGTGTTCTTTTTGGAATATGTACGCAAGTGGGTGTGATTTATGATATGTATTGTTATATGATGATGGTAATGAAATTTAATGAAATGTGATTTTAAAATGTGTTAAATGTTGATTACTATGGAACAAGCATTGTTTGTGGTATGATCATTGTGAATGGTATGAGTTCACCCTATGAGGAGATTAGTAAATTAAATCCACATAGATAATACTATCACTAGGGTAGCCTCAATGTTTGATCTAGAGCTAATTGCCTTTAATATTACCCTAGATTGAGTGTGTGGTAGGGCATCTAAATCTAAGAACCCCTAATATCACCCTAGATTGGATGTGGCATGGGGCTTTCGCTTAATATCATCTTGAATGAGGTGTAGGGTAAGGCATTATAACGCCTATCAAGATTTGAGAAAGGAAAAATTCATAGTTTGAGAGTGAGTGTGAAAGCCTTAATTAGGTGACCCCTCATAATTAGAGAGCTTGGACTAATCCAATCACATGGGTTTGTCCTATTTGTATTAATAGTTCATAGATTTAGTTAAAAAAATATAAGATTGGTGCACTAATCATTCGTACCATGGATATATTTGATTTCTATTAAATTGTCTACTTTATGTGCCTATTAGTTGACTTGATTTTCATGTTCTTGATTTAGTGTAACTTGGTTGTATTCACCTCTCTCTTAATATAATTACACATGATAATTTTGGTAGAAGCAAAGGGAAGACATCAGACGTTAAGGACTAATTGTCTCTTTTATAATGCCCTTATAATTTGGTAATTTTATGTGTAATGGAATGATATTGCCAATTAGGATAATTCTTTTGTCATTCTTGCACCATCTGTATGTTGAAAGTGATTTTATTGTATTTTAAGTCCAAGATGATGTGATATGAATTTGTTAATCTAAGTAGGGGCAAAATACTATTACAAGTTTGTTTGTAATTGTTTGCATGGATTTATGTTGAGTTTGTGGTATGAAAAACCTCCTTGTTTGATTAGGTTGAAAAGTTAGGGTTGAGGGTCAAATTTTGTGATATATGATGAAATGTTTATATTTGATGCATTGTACAGGTTGTCCTGAGTTTGTTGAGTATGGTTTATGTGTTGTGTTAAGTTACTGGTACTTGGTAGTGGATTTGGACACCTTGGGATGGTGAAAGTGTGAAGAAGATATTGTTTTGATTTTGGGTGTCCAAGTTTGTGAAGTAAAAATACTTAGAAATGAGACTGATGCCATTAATTAGTTGATTGAGTAAGATTTTTATAAATACCTAGATCAAATCAATCAAATGCTGTATAGAGATTTAGGGTGTTCCAGAAATTGGCCTCCAAATCTGGCTTGACAGCATTTTGCTGCACCACATGGGTTGGTGTCTTCACCACGACACAAGGTACAATGAGGACACATTGGGACACACATTGGGACGCATGCATGCTTCATCGTGACAAACGTGTACTGTTTTAGGAAAATTACCATTTTGAGCCCTATTTTGATTTGTTTTCAAAACCTATTGCTTTCTCATGTTTCCAAATGCTTTTAAAACCTTAATTCTTATATAAGTTTTGCCTAGAAGGACCGAAAATGATTTTGGTTATGCTTGGGATCCCAAATTTCAAAAGGTTGTTTAATTATTAAACTTACTTTCAAATTTTTCTACCATAATAGTTCCTTATCATATTAGTTTAGTGTAACAGCCCTCCTGGGTCACCACTGCCTCTCCAGGGTCTTTTCCCAGGCGCTGGACAACACACATGTCACCACATGATTGCCGGCTTTCCCACTGGTGGTACAGTGGTTATTCCTCACCCCACCCTCACGGGGGTCTTTTGGAACCTCCCCAGACTCGAACCTCCAACCTCTACCACCTTAACGAAGTTGAGGCGAAGTCTGGTACCATTGAGTCAAGTGACTCAATGGTACCAGACTTCGCCTCAACTTCGTTAAGGTGGTAGAGGTTGGAGGTTCGAGTCTGGGGAGGTTCCAAAAGACCCCCGTGAGGGTGGGGTGAGGAATAACCACTGTACCACCAGTGGGAAAGCCGGCAATCATGTGGTGACATGTGTGTTGTCCAGCGCCTGGGAAAAGACCCTGGAGAGGCAGTGGTGACCCAGGAGGGCTGTTACATAAAAGGCGCCTTTTATGTAACAGCCCTCCTGGGTCACCACTGCCTCTCCAGGGTCTTTTCCCAGGCGCTGGACAACACACATGTCACCACATGATTGCCGGCTTTCCCACTGGTGGTACAGTGGTTATTCCTCACCCCACCCTCACGGGGGTCTTTTGGAACCTCCCCAGACTCGAACCTCCAACCTCTACCACCTTAACGAAGTTGAGGCGAAGTCTGGTACCATTGAGTCACTTATGTAACAGCCCTCCTGGGTCACCACTGCCTCTCCAGGGTCTTTTCCCAGGCGCTGGACAACACACATGTCACCACATGATTGCCGGCTTTCCCACTGGTGGTACAGTGGTTATTCCTCACCCCACCCTCACGGGGGTCTTTTGGAACCTCCCCAGACTCGAACCTCCAACCTCTACCACCTTAACGAAGTTGAGGCGAAGTCTGGTACCATTGAGTCAAGTGACTCAATGGTACCAGACTTCGCCTCAACTTCGTTAAGGTGGTAGAGGTTGGAGGTTCGAGTCTGGGGAGGTTCCAAAAGACCCCCGTGAGGGTGGGGTGAGGAATAACCACTGTACCACCAGTGGGAAAGCCGGCAATCATGTGGTGACATGTGTGTTGTCCAGCGCCTGGGAAAAGACCCTGGAGAGGCAGTGGTGACCCAGGAGGGCTGTTACATTTAGTCTTTTCTACTATGGTAGAACTTAATTAACTTGTTTATTTTTGTTCTACCACGGTAGAATCTTTTTTGAGAAAATGATAGATGGGTCCAAGGAGATAAATTAATTCAAAATAAGTTTCAAAAGGTCAAATTTCAAGAATTTACAGCTTCAACTCTCAATCTTACAATTTCATTGTGATAAATTTATAACTTATTTTTTAAATTTTAATATGCTTGAAAAATAAATAAATTTATTTTTCCTATTAAAATTTGAAACACAAGTTACAAATTCATCACAATAAAGTTGCAAAATTGATAGTTGAACTTGCAAATTCCTAAATTTTGGCACTTTAGAGCTTACTTTGAATTAATTTGTCTCTTTGAAATCTACCTGTCATTCTCCCTTTTTTTTTATCATGGTAGGGGTAATTTAAACAAATTATTTATATGAAGTCAAATTCTATTAACCATTGTAGCTAGACTTTTAAACTAAGCCTTTTCCTTTTCCTTTTCCTTTTCCTTGATAAATAAATATAAGGATTGATTTGAAAGTATTTAAGCTATAGAGCCTATGGGAACTAATATAAATTATCGAGAAAAGCAGCCGTAACATGAGTTTCTTTAAAGCAAGTTTACGAAGTCAATATAATTAGATAACACTGACCGTAGTATAGGCCGCGGTGCAGAAGATAATGGCGTTGAAGCGACCTGCGCAAGCCTCGGATACGTGTATCACAGCAGGTATTAACACAGCTGATATCGCATCAAGCAAAGTCACCAGCAAAGTAACATTCAGTAGATCAATACCCCTATCAATTAGGAAGTCAGCCAAAACGCTCACCGCTCCCTTGTTTACAAAAGCATAGCTGAAAGCTAAACCTGAAATAAAAATATAAATATCATTAAAGGAAGAAATGAGAGATATTGTTAAAATTACGAAGAATTGAATGGGCCAGGAGAAGAAAAGAACACATTTTTTGATTAACATTATTGAACATTACAAAACATAATCCTTCACTAGAAGAATGAATATCAAAACCACCTCTTTTAGGTAAGATTAAACCTTCTTAACCCCTAATAGAATATGATGCCTTTTATATATAGATTTTAAGGTTATCAATAACTAAGTGATCCATATTAACCACATAATTAACTAACTAATAGTCCAACAGATATATTGATACTTTCAATCTAAGTTAATTTAAACGTAACAGATCAAAAAAGGAAGAAAGAAGTTAATGGCGATCGAGTAATCTCCTAGTAGATCTAGCTCAAGGAACTAGCTAGGAACTTGTTGATCTCGAGACTGAGAAATTAGTGCTACCCCAGATGAAGATCACAGTCTTGGAGAGGACAAACCCACTGCGGAACCAGTTGAAGAGATCGTCGCGACCCACAAACTTCATCGTGTTCAAAATTAGCCAATTAGGGTATGTTTTTTTTTTTTTTTTCCCTTTCTTCAGGTGAATGCCTATTTAAAACCCTAAGCGAAAGACAATGCAGTAAGCTTGTACCTTCCAGCTGGTTAATGTGAATCCGCGGCCACTTTTTGCCCTCGATTGTGCTTCGGATCTCGACGCGTTTGTGTCAAACAAAATTTCCTGAAACTTTCCTTCCTCGAAAGTTATGATAGATAGATAGATAAATTTGAATTGTTAAAATTTGATTGCCTGAATAATTCATGAATTGTAATGAAAAAATATTTTATAAAATGAATTTTGCTATTTTTTTTAGTCATTAATATTGCTGGATCACTCCAAAGAGAGTTTGATTTGCTAGACAATAATTTTTCCCCAGATGAAGAGTACGTACAGTCTTAGAGAGGACAAAACCATCTTGGAACCAGCTCAGAAAGTGGCTTCCGCAGCTAAGAAAAAAGTTGCGCATATTATTGATAACATGGAGGAAGAGCTTTGTGCAGGAACTAATTATTTTTCTTTATTTTACAAGGACGAAAAATGCTACTCAAGATGCATGTACTTTAATCTATTTTTTCAATTCAAAAAAAGACTAATATGGATTATGATGAGCAAGTCCAGTTGAGGTTAATTTCTTTTTTAACATGGATTTAACACCAAACAGGGAGGTAAGGGGGGCGGGAGGGAGCGAGGGGCCTAAAGATGTAGTTTCACACTTCGAAACTGTGAACAATATTAAATTCATGTTAATAAAATAAAGGAAAAACATTTATAAATTTTTTTTTAAATATATAAATGATAATTTGATTCCTTAAAATGTTATAATTTTTTTAAAGTTTTTATACACTTTTTTATTATTAATAAATTTATATAAATTATTAAATTATCTTTGTTGAAAATAAATGATTCACAAATTTCATTTAAATATTCACAACTTTTATTTTTATAAAAGTAATTTACTGTTACATAGTTATAAATATAAGAATAAAAGTTGTGAATATTTAAACAAAATTTATAAATCATTTATTTTTAATAAGAATAATTTAATAATTTATATAAATTTATTAATGATAAAAAAATTTTAAATATTTAAAAAAATTATAATATTTTAAGAAATTAAATTATTATTTATATATTTTAAAAAAATTTTATGATCATCTTCCCTAAAATAATCATGAACTATTAATTAGCGAGAAACAATTTAAACAGCTCATACGTTGAATTTGATTAACAGTTGACAGGCGTTTTGCAAAATTACCCGGAAACCTGCAACGTATTACTCAGTGACGCATGTCTCTCAGATCAACTCGCCAGCAGCAAAGCAGAGTAGCAAACCCGTCGATCTGTAAAAGCATTCACCTAAGACTTTGTTTGGTCAGAAGAAAGGAGATGGAGGGAAAAAAGAGGTGAGGGGAGGGACTAGGGAGATCCCCTCAATTTGGAAGGAGGTTTTGGAGGACCCCTTATCAAATAAAGGAAGGAGAGTGATGCGACAGGGTGGAGGGAAGGGGAAATTTTTCCCCTCCCCTCCAACCAAACATTAGTTAAGGGGGAAGAAAAATACGTACAAACACTGTGTTTGAGAGAAATTTGAAGCTCTGCTCGAGAGACTCACAAGTATGACTACAAGCTGATGTCTGATGAAGAATAATGCAACCTCTGAAATGCAGCGGTCCCAAACTGGGCCCTTCTGCATCGTTTTCGCCGGCGACGAGAACATCTGCAACAGCAGAGGTAAGAGAAAGAGGAAGGAAGCAAATAAAAAAGAAAGAAGAGACGAAAAGAAACTTAGAATATAAAAGTGATTATATTCAACTGAAACACGGAGAGAGATGTCCTTCACGGTTCAATGCTGACTGCTGAGTTGATGAGGAATTGAATGGAATGAGACTGAGACGTACAAGCCCCGATTAATTGAACTGGAGGGTGAGGCACCAAAGCTACTTTATGACCCCGTGATTCCCCTGTCGATTAGTAATTATCTTTTCTTTTTTCTTGTTATTAGTATTATATTAAAATTTTAACGGTTTAGATTTAATATTTAATAAAATTATTATTATTATTTTAAAATATATATATATATATATATATATATATTTGAATCTTTGAAAAGCTTAGATTTAACAATGATTTAAAAAATGATAAAAATAGGGAAAAGGAAACAATGATGCAACTATTTTCCAAACAAACATGCCTCTTGTCTATAAAAAATATTAAAGGGAGAGAATATAATAAAAAAATAATATTAATAATTTTTTATTTTTATAAAATATTTTATATTTTAAAATTTTGAATGTTTCTCACCAATATCTTATAAATTATGGCAGAGGCATAAATTACATAAGATAAGATTAAAACGTGACCAGAAGTCAAAAAAGAATAATAAATTACACAAGACTTATAAGTCAACTCCTCAACTAAACAATGTGAATGAGCACCGGAAGTCCGGGAGTGACGGGGGAACCATCCCCCATTCTCGTGATAAACATGTGTGTTTAAATGAGAGGATGGACCCAAACACTCATGTTCCATCTTTAAAAAAAAAAATCAAAACTAAATTTTAATTTCATGTTTTATCTTATCTTAAAAATCATTCCATCTTATTAAAAATTAAGACAAGATCGAAGTAAGATTAAAATGTCCTGCCATTCTAATAAATTGAATAATATGACAAAAAAATTTGAATTATAATATTCACTAAAATTTTAAATCATATAATTTATTAAATTAAAAATTAAAAGAAAATGAGTACATAAATTACAACGATTTAAAGTCAATTATTAAATTATATCAATTACAACTACAAGTGTATAACATTATGATAGCACTTATAAGTGATTTTTAGGTTATAAGAGCAACAACAACAAACAAGCCATGAATAATATCAAATCGTCGTTCTTCTTCTTTAATTGATATATGAAAATAAAGTAAAAAACACAATATAAAAAATTGTTAAATAAGTATATATAAGAATAAATTGTATTAATATAATTGATATATTATAAAGAAAGATATTACCTTATATTATTTACTTTATAAGTCTGTATCATTAAAATTATCAATATAAAAAACTTTTAGTTTTAAATAACAATTACATGTATTGAAATTATAATTGATATAATTAATATAAATATAAATTATATTAATATATTTAATATATATTTAAAAAATTAAAAATAAAAATAATATATATAAAATATTCAAGATGAGACGAGACGTGTTTTGAGGATAATCTTATGTCCCGTCTTGTTCCTAATTCCTTTCTCCTCTCATCCTACAAAGATCCATCTTGATTATTTTCGAGTTAAAATGAGACTTATTTTGATATGATCGAGAGAAAATTAGACCAATCAATACGAGTACAAATTAAGCATCCCTAGCGATATTGTCCAAGAAAAAACTAAAAAGCAAGCCCAGCTTCTTTCCTCTTGAGGGTTGCCTCCTCCACGCTAGGGAAACACGTGGAGTCATGGCTGGTGGACCATTCAAATTTAATTTTGAACGTTGCAACTGTAATATTTTTACTTTCATTTATAAAATAAAATTAAGATATCTAATTACTGGTCTAAATAGTCTAATTTTAATATAAATAATCTAAATTTAATATTAAAAATTGTAAAAATTATAAAAATTTAATATTAAATATGTACTCCCTCCAATTCCATTTATAAAACCCATTTTAGAAGATCAATTTGATCCCATTTATAAGTTAGGGCACAACTTTTTAAATAATATTTAAAAATATTTTAAAATTACCCTCTATGAGATAGAAAAAGTAACATAATATTACTTTTTAAATTTGTTATATAGAGGTATATTTAAAATTTTATACGTTTTATTCTTTATAATTTTTTTGTATTGGTATTGATAAAATTCATAGAAATGACTTATAAAGAGAATCAAAAAAATGTGATTTAAAGTATATCTAGAAAGTTAATTTATAAAAATTATAAAATTTTAATATTAACTCTAGACAACTTATATTAAATCTAGACTATCCTGACAAGTGAACAGATTTATTAATTTTTATTTATAATTTATATAAATTTTTTATTATGATAAATATAAAATAAAAATAAAATCATTAAATCTTGACCATTCCAGTTTTGAATGGTCCAGATTTTTTTCCCCCAATGTAGTGGAGCTGCGGAGTAGGCAACACTCAAATAAGGGAAGCCGAAGGAAGGACAAAACTATCACATTATAAGCTCTTTTTTCCTTAATTAGCTAGATCTCTTGTATTGTTATGAGTTTAAATAATTTTCTAATTTAATAAGAAGATGAGTCCTTAAAAATAGTTTTTTCTTGTCCAAAAAACAGGTTTTTTCGGCTAAAAAAAAAACACCTGACAGGTTTTATAACGGAATGGATATTGAATTATTGATTACGTATATTGATTCACATGACTACATGAGTGTCTTTAACATGGACAAATGTTCAATGTAATTTCACACGTAACTATTTATAATATTTTTTGGCCTGAATAACTATTTATAATTAATGAATCAACATCACTCAAGTGTGGGATATTTATTTAACCATGTGACGTCACACGTACCAGAGTATAGTAAATGGATTATTCAATAAAGGCGCTTCATTGTATTTGTGACTTGAAATTCATACCATTTAAAATAAAAATTATAATACTATAAAAAATCATAATAATTTGGTGATAAAAAGACATTTAAAAATTATTATTATCTATCAATGAAAATATTTATACGACAATACTTGAAAGATCGTTTGATAATTATAAGAAGTAACAATAATTTTCTTTTTATCTTTAATGTTTATTATAGTGAAACCTGAATTAGATCGGTAAACGGTAAGCTAATCACCTGACCAATTCGGTCGAGTGGTTAACCCGCGAGAGGCTCAATGGCTTGAAACAGGGACTGGCAAAAATTGAAAACTATTTAAAATATGAGGAATTAATACTAATTTTTATTTTTTTTTACAAAGAAAATAAAAAATTTTCAAAAAAATTC